CCTCTCTAAAATCAATAAAAACATTTAAAAAAAACAAAATGGAAATTAGGGCAAAGATTTCATATAACAAGGCACAGAGATATGCTACTGGAAGTTGCTTTCCTTCCATGGCTAATGCAGAAATAAAAAATTTTGGAAGCAGAAAAATGAAAGGTTCGGAGAAAAACCACACCATCCAGTAATTCCAGCAGTGAGAATGATTCCTACCATTTATTGCAAAGAAAATATCACCACAACACTGAAAAGTAGGATCACGGGATGAAGACAATATCTAAGGACACTTCCCTCACAACCAAATGAAATACCTATCATACTCATTAAGTTTAATAAAGCATTCCTAGACAATTCAATTGTACTGATCCCACATACATAACCAAACTGGATTTTGCCAGCCAGTAATAATATGACTCCAAAAGCAAAGCAAAACACCATGGTTCCTGCCAGATGAGCCTCATTCATGATGCTGCCATCTGCTACTTTTAATGGGTGTAACACTGTTAGTATTTTTTGCCAGATGTGGTCAAAATTGATACCTAATTCTTCCAATAATAGTGGTTCATCCTCAAAGCTGTTTCCATGGAATGGCTGAGGAGCAGTTGGGGTATATGTCTGAGCTGGCTGGGGATCTGCCTGGCGTATGGCTGCTGTGGCTGCATCACGTCTGGAGGGACATACCGACCTGGCTGCGAGTAGTCACAGCCAGACACTGTTTGCTACAGGGGCCTCCTCTTCCTCCATAGTCATAGGACTGCTGTGACCGGTCATCGATGCTGTAACTTGTCTGGTAGAAATCCGTGTTTAAGTTATCAAAGCCTGACATTGCAAATGATCAAACTGGAAGCCGTGACAATAACTCCAGCAGCCCCAACTACCCCCCACCCCAACTCAGCTCAAGATCCTGAATTGGCCCCATGCTACGCGTCACAGGCCGAAGAACTGCCGAGCTTTTGTATTTATTATTTTTAATAGATAATGGTGGGTTTCAAATTGCCCATGGTATCTGGATTCCATTTGTATGTTTTACTTGTGTCAGTATTTATAGTTGCTGGAAATTACATCCTTCTCAATTACTGAACATGTAATGAAACGTTTTAGCAGCTTAATGTGCAATCTGGAATGAGGAATAGTGGGGGTTAGGGGGAGGGGAGCAGCAGCCAGTTTTCTAAGAGGACCCCAAGGGAGGCCGCTGGCTGTGGACGGAATTGTAGGATTCCATTCCAAGTGTCCATCTCTTGACAGGAATTGAGACCTTGCACAAGAAACTTCCCGTCTCAATTTAGCCCATTTGTAAAACTGGGCGTCCACTACTTTGCTGGGTTATTGTAAAGAATAGAGATAATGTGTGCAAAGAATCTGGTAGGCCGCAAGCAAGAACGGAACGGTGTGCTTGCTGAGTGTTAGCAAAGGAGTTTCGACTTAAGGCAACCGGAGGTGACATGGCCAGGTCTCCAAACTCGGGGGCCTCTAACCCCTCCTCCGGGTGGACGGTGGGACCAGCCCTCTCCGGGCCGGG